TTAGGGCTAATAATGCCTACCACAGAGAGATGTGATGAGGATTAAACATGACAGACGTACAGTGCCTAGGAGAGTTTGTTGAATGAAAGACTTCGGGCGATGACTGCTTTATAGGTTGACCCAAGGGAAAACGAGTCTGTAAACAGAAAAATAGGTTTAGGATGCTAACTCCCCTTTCTTTTCTTTTTTTTTCTTTTAAGAGAGATTTTTGCTTATAGGGCGCCAGAAAGCAAGAAATCGCCCCCCACCCAAAGGATGGCCATGCCACAATCCCTTCTCCATTCACCTCTCAGGATCTTGGGCACACACAGCCCAGTGTGAGGTTTAAGCCACCAAGTCCAGGACTTGAACCGCAGTCAACTATGTGGGAATCCAGCGAGTCCAGTGATGTAACCATTACGCCATCTGCTAGTGCCCCCCTTTTGCTTTTTTAGAGAGAATGAGTCCCATTTCACTCCGTTTTTCACCTTGGCTCCTTGAGAAGAAGCTATGTCCACACTCTGGTCCTTCTCTCTTCTCTTTCCCCTCCCCAGGGAGACATGTGATAATTCCCCTGGCAGGCCTGACTAGTTCAGAGAGCTTAGGAGCTGGCAAGTTACAGTCTGAAAGGCAGGACCCAGATAGCTCCTCACCAGACTCCCTGTCCCTCTTCTTATGACCTTCTTCACTCCTAGCCTCCAAGCTGAAAGAACACTTGGCAAGGCCTCTCCTCAAGGGAAGCCTCTCCACGCTCCTCTGTTCTTAACCACCATACCACCTGCTGGCCCCTCAATGAGTCCCTCTTAAATCTAAAGATGGCAACTTATTCAACTTATTCAGTTAAATAAAGTAATTGTTTGAACAAAGGAATTATTTTAACTTTATTTATTTATTTTAATTTGACCAGAGAGGAACAGAGTGTGTGTGAGAGAGAGGGGGTGGGGGGAAGACTGAGAAAGCAAACCACCAGGTCTGGGACTCGAACAGCAGTCAGCCATGTGGAAATCCAATGCCTTTAACCAACATGCCTCTGGCCAGCCCCATTAAATAATTCTTAAGCTCTTTGGTCTCAGCCACAGAAGCAAGATGACAAGGGAATGTCATTGTTTGGAAAGTGTCGCAATAAGATGCATACGTTGTGTCACCAATGTGACTCTAAGGCCTACCACTGTCAGAAGTCGACCTGTGGCAAATGTGGCTACTTGGCCAAGCACAAGAGAAAGTGTAACTGGAGTGCTAGGGCTAAGAGACGTACTACCGCTGAGGCTGGTCGAACGGCACTGCTAAAAACTGTACACTGCAGATCCAGACATGGATTCTGTGAAGGATCAATACCCAAACCCAAGAGGGCAGCCGTTGTGGCATCTAGTTCATCTTAAGAATTTCAACCATTGGGCCGGCAAGTGGCGTGGTGGTTAAAGGCGCTGGACTCCCACATGGCCGACCACGGTTCAAGTCTCGGACCTGGTGGCTTGCTTTCTCACTACCTCTCTCTCTCTCTCTCTCTGATCAAACTGAAAAATAATAATGATATAATAATAAATAAAGTTAAATAAAATAATTCTTTAAAAAAAGAATTTCAACGATTAGTCAGGTAATAAATGTTTTGGCTAAAAAATAAATAAAAATAATAATTCTTAAAAAAAAGAAAGAAAGAAAGAAAGAAAGAAAGAAAGAAAGAAAGAAAGAAAGAAAGAAAGAAAGAGTGACTCACAGAAAGCACAGTGAGGGCCCCAGGTCTGTGCCTCTCGTGTGCACTAGCCCTGTTTATCCAGGAACCCTGCGCGTGTGTGGGGGGCACGCACCATTGGGGTCTGGGCTTCGGTGGTCTGGGCTGTCATTCCTTCTGTGCAGCTCACTCTGCAGCTAATACTGGAGAGGAGGAGGACGGGGGTGGGATTCAGGGACCAGCACCTCATCCACAACCCAACCCTCCTCTCCTTAATGATTTAGTTAGATGGGAAAACACTGGGTTATTCTTATGTTTATTTTCAGAAGGGTGATTATGTGAAGCCTCATGTTAGCCTGCTAACGTGGATTTAAATCCTGACCAAGCTTTCAAAATACCCGGAGACAATTTTCTGCAGTCATGTCCTAAATGCCATGGTTTGGGAAAGGCCTTCTTCTGGCCCTGACCGATGCCAACGCTCAAGATCTCAGGGTTTCCTGGGGAAGGGTGCCGCCATCCTGTGGGCTCTCCCTGTAGAGTTCTGGGGACTGGGAGTCAGAATGGATGAGGAGAGGACTGCCTCAGCCAGGGGCTGGTTTTCTCAAGTGTTTTATGCTAAAGGCATATACTCTCAGCCCAACGTGAACTGTTTCAACACCAGTAAAGATACCAAGCAAAACATAAGAGAAGAGTGAGACTGTCAGAGGTGCTTCTGTCTAGATATAAATAAATTTATCAGGAGAATTTCATTCTAAATGTAAATTAAGGGCTGGCAGGTGGTGTGAAGGTTAAAGCGGCTGGATCCCACATGGTCAACTGGATGGTGTGCGTCCCGGATCCAGCAGCTTGAGAAACATGCCAGGTTTATGTGCACACATGTCCTAAGTCCCAAAGGAGAATGAGGAGAAGAGATTGCAGCGTGATCATCCCTCTGGGGAGTGATTTCTCTCTTTCTCTCCACCCCCTGCTCCCCAGGGAGTGTATGTGCCCCATAGACTTAAAAAAAAAAAAAAAAAAGTAAATTAAAACACCCAGGGGATTGCTGATCCCCAACCCCCAAAAGAATTCATGGAAACCTTTTGAACTCTAGTTTGCTGCTGCTCCAAGGCCAGCCGAACTACATAAAACTTAGGTGTAACTGTGACTATTGCCAAGTGCTCTCTTACCACAAATTGCCTCCTCACGGTCTTGCCTTGCAAAACCAAAAGGCATGGACCCCCAAACCGGCACCAGCAGAACACTGAGTCTTGAGTCATCCCATTCTTCACTGGCAAGTATAGATAGAATCACCCGTCAGCAGGCCTGGTGCTTCAGTGCTAGGAACCCATAGAGGGAAAGATGCCACCCCTTTTCTCGAGAAGCTCACTTCAGGTAATGACAGTAGCATAAAAGCATTACTTGTCCCAGGAAAAATGTGGATTTCAAGAAATGGAGGGCTATGCTCAGAGACTGTTGTAGGGGACACAGTTACTCTTCCAAGTTCTGTGTAATGAAACCTCCTAAAAGGAAACACCTCATTTAGTAAAGAACCTCACAAATTTGAGATTCTTGTCCCTTTTCTTCCTCTCTTTAGCTTAGACCTAGTAACTTTTCTCAGTCTTCCCACATCTTACAAGAATGCGATCCGTAATCTTTTATTGTCAAGGGTCAGAAGGGAATCTACACAGAACAAAAAGAGAACATTTTATATTGCAGAAATTTCCAGCAGTTAAAAACTCACGCCGGGTGCATGTGCATGCGTGCCCAAGATCCCGAGAGGAGAATGGAGGAGAAGGGATTGCGGCGTGACCATCCCCCCTGGGGGGTGATTTCTCGCTTTCTGTCTCTATGTCTGTCTCTGTCTGTCTGGCGAGCGCACGCGCCCTACAGTGAAAAATCTCTCCAAAAAAAAAAAAAATGAACAAGTTTCCTTTTTCCTTAATAACCTAAGGTAATTTGCAAAGAGAGATCAATTCCCTTAATTATGTTTTTGAAGACAATAAGTCTAGTCTGTTAGATAGCATAGTTTTTAAAAGTTTTTTTTTTTTTTTGGAGAGGTTTTTGCTATAGGGCGCGTGCGTTTGCCAGAAAGACAGAGAGAGAGACAGAGAGACAGAAAGCAAGAAATCACCCCCCAGGGGGGATGGTCACGCCGCAATCCCTTCTCCTCCATTCTCCTCTCGGGATCTTGAGCACACATACACACATGCCCAGTGTGAGTTTAAGCCACTGGGTCCGGGCCTCGAACCCCAGTCGACTACATGGGAGTCCAGCGACATAGCCATTACATTAACTGCTAGTACCAAGTTTTTAAGTTTTTAATCTATTTATTTTGAGAACCAGGTAAATGCTTTTAAAATAATATGCTTAAGTTGTTCTCGCTGCTATGTTCTGAGGATAAAGGGATTAAATTAACAACAACAACAAAAATCAACTGTGATGTAATTCTAGATTTCTTTTTCCTTCAGACATCATTTGGTCACCATGGTAACGTAGTGTTTTACTACCAGATATCTATACAGCACTTTTTTGAAAGAGAACAGACAATCACTTAGTGGGTTATTTAGGGTATAGAATGCGACTGCTGGGGTCATTCATGATTAAACACAGATTTCACTGGGATCTGTTTTAGCCAGGCAAGCTGATTCCATCTTCCAGTAGCACCAGCTAAACAAAATATGTGGCCAAATCAACTGCTGATATTATTTGAACTGAAGCAAGCAGGCAAGCAGCATAGCTCAGTGGTTAAGAGCATGGGCTCTAGGGTCAAGTTTCTTGGCTCCAAATTCTAGTTTTACTAATTGCTAGCTGTGTGACCCTGGGAAAGTTCCCTAACTTCTCTGTGCCTTAGTTTCTTCATCACTAAAATACGAGCAATAATACCTCCCCTAAAGAGCTACTGCAAGGATTAAACATGCTGAAAACGGGGCCTTTACATAGCAGTAATCAGATAAGTATTTGTGAAATAAAAATGAAATAAAAATTTAAATCTGTTAGGGAAATGAGTCAAAGCTTTATCAAGATTTGAGTTCACAGCAGATTCTTGTAGCCTGCAACTCGTATAGATTCCTTTGAGAACTTCCCAGGGCCCTTTGGGGGTGGAGATTCTGTAAGAGGTGGAATTCTGTGGCAGTCTCCTGCTCCGACCAGAGCCAGGAACAATCACATGCGCTCCCGGTACCAGGAACCTCCAAAGGAAGAGGCTCGCACGGCACAAAGAGCAGGCTGCCCACTCAGGCTCCCTAAGCCACTGCCAGCAACCCCGAGGAACATGGGCACGGAATAGGCATTGGAAAGGGATGAAACAGGATTTTATTGCTGTGACAATGAAATCTAGTTGGTTTCGGTAATGTTCTTTCTTTTTTTCTCTTTCCAGGATTCAAGGAAAAGGATTCCTTTTCTTCCATGAGTGCTTTGTTTTATTATCACCATGTAAGATTTCCTTCCCATTTTTCAACAGGCACTTATTCTGGAGATTTATCCATTTTACTGAACTACCTAGGCATCTTCTCTGGACCCGTAACAAATCTAAAGCCTCTATGCAGCCCCTCATCCAGAAGAAAATCTGCCAACTCCTTGGGGAAAAAGGTGTTAGGTCCTAAATGTCAGAGGTACCGCGGGATCTCCATCACATACCTTCATCTGGGCTTGATCTCAGAGCCGGTCTCCTCGGGTCTTCTTGGTCAGGAGCAGCCCTTGCATGGGAGTTTGCAGAATGCCATAAGCCACCAGGGAAGCTTGGGAACACGGTCATTTCTGTCCTCTGCCTTCCCCTTGGCTCACGGCCGGCTTCCTGGTAGGGAGACAAGATGACGCGCTGCAGGGTTGACTGTTAAACCATCTTCCCGCCCCCAGCCCCACTCTCTGGCTGCCCCTCCCTTCTCCTTTCCAAGGCTCAGGAATGTGTCACATGGGGAATGGATCATGTGGCTCAAGGGGAGAATGTGGCCATCTTCTCTCTCTCCCTTCCCCCACTTTTCCTTTCAGGAGCAAAGCAGCAGAAATCTCTGACCCGATTGGCTCTGCCCAAAAATCTCCATATGAAAAGAGGTAGAGTCAGCCACCCAAAGCCCCAGCCTTCTCCACTTTCTTCCCTGTTTTTATCTCTATCTGCCGATTTTGTAAGGAGAACATGAAGCTGCTTGGTGTGGGTGAGAAATTAAGGCTTTCCCCTCAGCCCCGCTCCTTTCTTACCATCACCAGTGCCCTGACACGGCAAAGTGTTCCTCAACCTCCCTCCAGAAGCCCCTTGGCACATCTGGCACAACGGGGCGTTCAGCACCACGGACAGCATTACACCCTCTCCAGAGCTTGTGAATGCCATTTGTCTGTCTGGCTCTCAGGTAAATGAAAATATTTTTCAATACTTTCCTGAGGTCTTGCGCCTGCATAAAAATCACATGATATATTTAGGGCTCTGACTTCCCCTACTGTCAACTTACTGTTACCTTATAAACACAAATGTTAAGTTGTATATTTCATTAAATCCAAAGACCATCCTTGGTCTACCTCCCTGCCCATCTCCCATCACCTGTCCTCACCTTTAAAATATACTCTGGGCTTTTTGGGGGAGGTGGGGCAGTGCGGATTTTCATAATATCCATGGCTAAATGTCCATATACCTATGCTCATAGGAAAAACCACAGAAATGAACA